AACCGCAAATTGTCAAGTTACCATTGGTTGAAGTTGAACTGCTAATTGTTATTGACAACTCGACAACTTGAGGAGATGTCTGATGTGCCGTGCCTTTAGAACTGGTCATTTCCTCGGAGGCTACTGAAGATGGAGGGACGTCTGACTCTCTTTGCGCTTCTTATCGTCTTGGGTGAGTAGTTTTTCATTTTTGTGAGATAAAATAAGTTATCTACTAAATACATGTAGTAAAGAAATTATTCACTCTCGACTATAGGTTGTGTTTTTTTTAATATGAGAGGGTCCGTTTGGACTAGGTAAATGCGCACCAGAATTGAGTCAAAACACACGGACGTATTGGTTCATAAAAAGATGAAATACTGCAAGATCTTAGTTTGAGATGATTGTGTGCTACAATATTTTTTTCTATTTCAACATTTATGAACAAGAAATGGCGACGGCACACTCAATATATTTTTTAACTTTATTTTTATGCCACCACCAAATCAACTGAACAGACAACTGATAACTGACATGCTCATAAGTAAAGTGAGGAAATTTAGATACAGTAATTTGCAACAATTAACCCAAAGGAATGAATCTTGTAGCCTGGGTGCCATCCTTAAGTGGAAAAACCAGTTGAGTGACCAGGTTTAAACACTTATTTATCATTGCTCCAGGCAACAGTTCTTTGTTCCAAGTGTCGGCGCAGACTACATCACCATACATCACAATAAGGCTATTTTTTAATCAAATGCCAATGTTTCTTAAATGTTTTAGATGTACATTATTACCTCCGGGGAAGGGGATATCCTTCCGCGGGAAGGTTTTACTATCGTGCGAACCATTTCTGTCAGCAGCTGTTTCTCGCGATCGGCTGGACAAATTTGTCTGGGGTTCGGTATACGTATTGCTATTGGGCTGCAGATGATGCAGAGCGTTTTGTTTTGATTGCATATGTGTTTATGGGCGTCGAAATAAAAGATGTTGAAGTGCTTCGGACACCCCCACGGTCCTGAAAATGGTATTCCTAATTGATTTCCATGTTGTTAAGAATTGGGGCGAGGGCACTGCTGGGTCTAACCATTCAAAAAGGGGTCAAACAGAGGGTGTCTGGTTCCGATAAAAATTTTGGGTGACGGCGCGGCAATGACGGCGGGGGTTAATGGCGCGGGTGACGGTGCAGGCTGTCAGACACGTTAAAAACACCATAAATATAGAAAACCATCAACAGTCCATACCGAACCAACCCTCAGTAGCCATCAAACACATACAAACATATTACGCACATTACTTTCATACTACACACAAACAAATAATCTAAACCAATGGAACACACAAAAACCCGGAGGTTTGAAAACTACGATTTCCCTTGTTTTCCATCTGCGGATTCTAGTAAGTTACGAACATCGAAGTGCAGCCTTGTGTCACCAGGTGATCTCAATCTTGAAATGATTTAACATTACAGCCTTACAGGGTCCTCACAATCACGTATATAACTGACAGAACATTTTCCATGTTGGTAACAGGTGTTACAGTCTCGGTCGTTTACTTCCTATGTTACAGTAATTTGTAGTAATGTATCAATGAATCTTGTCCAGGTCGTACCTTTGCTACAATAAATCTTAGGCTTATTGTGGCCCTGGGGAGAGATCGCCCTGTTTTGTTCCCTGAGTTAGGACTACATAGCTACAGATAATACATGTAACTAAAGGTATAATTGGCAGACAGAGAGATATCGCTATCAAATTGACCCTAAAACGTTTTTATTGTCCGTGCCTTGCAGGGGGTTCATCAGAAGCGACCGCTGGACAAGGTACTGGTAGTAAGTGCTTGATACAAATACTTTTTATCGCCTACAAGTAAACTATGTGTTCACCCCTGTCGTACATGTACCTTAGAACATTCAAGAAAACAAATCATTGTATAATGGTGAAGACAGACCTTAATGTTTAAGAAAGCACACGAACACCTATCTAGATTTTCAGAGGGGCATGTTGCATGCATAGGTACCTGTAATTCAGTGATAATCTTTAATATTCGCGAACTGTTACTGAAAGAAGATGTAAGTGCACTATTGACGGTAATTGCCATTTTTTTCTTCATTTAGCCTTTGTCAATACAGGAAGTTCACAACCCAAGACACAGGGGCAACCAGGAAAATGTTGTAAGTGCCCAATACTAATTCTAGCATACAGTTGCATTTAATAAAAAAAAAAAACTAAATCATAGCATAGACACCATCTGACATTCGTCTGGTGTTCTGAAGTGCTTCTGTCTTAATCACAGAAGCATACGTTCAGTAGATTAATGCAGAAGATTCTCATTGGTTCTTGTGACATTTCCAGCAGGAAGCACTACCAACCTGGCCCTGAACCGCCCGGCGACCCAGTCTAGTACTGACTTTAGAGGAGCTCCCGGACGGGCTGTAGACGGGAACCGTAACGCCATCTATGCCAAAAAGTCTTGTTCTCACACGGGAATGGAGCGGGATCCATGGTGGCGAGTCGACCTGGGCAGCAGTCAGTGTGTGGATCGGGTGGTCGTCGTTAAGCGACAGCGCATCGGCGGTCATTGGCTGGACGGCTTCCAGGTTGTCTTTTCATTTCTGTCTGATGTCTAAGACTTAAAATAGTCATCGCATAACAGATGCATAAACACAGCAATAGATTAAAATGAGCTTGGAAACTTATACAGAATTTGCTTCTAGGTTTACGTTGGCGACAACCCGAACGTGGTGGAAAACCCTACCTGTGGCAAAAAGCAGTCTGTTGCTGGGAAAGACGTCATCACGGTGGACTGTGGCGGACTGACGGGCCGATATGTGGGGATAGCTCTGCCGGGCAAGAAACAGTACCTCATCCTGTGTGAGGTGGAAGTGTATGGAGGTAGGGTTGGCTGGAATTCGTCAGAACCTATGGGATGGTCGTTTACATTGCGTATCGAATATATCGTATGCGTACCTTACCAAATTTAAGAACATGTGACACTGACCTTTTGTCTTTTACCGAAAAAACACTTAAGGGATTTTATTTAAACTGTGGTTAAGGATCCCTGTTGGACACAATTTTTTATCATTTACAGAACCGAAATGACTTTCTTTAACGAGAAAAAAGTGTCCCCTATTCGTGATGTGTTTCAGGAACGTCACCAACTGAAGTCAGCAGGCCAATGTTGAAATATGGCCAATGTGGTAAGTGCCTAAATCAATTACAATTAACAGCTTTTCATGTGTATAGTCTAAAGCAAAATGTGTAGCTAGTAGTATCTCAGTACCAAAAAAAATCAATTAATAGCGAAACACGTAACATTAGTTATTGTAAGGAAAACAAGCCCCTTTAAATATGATTTAAATCTTGTTTTTCATTCAACTGTCTCATTTCAGCATGGTTTAATTAGTTTCAGTCAGTTCTTTCAACCATTTCAGAGGAGTAAGACAAAAAAGGCCCTTGGTCTAACATTATGTACAAATGTGCTCGCATTGGACAGTAAAGGGCAAAACTTTAAATTCATATCATACACTCATAGTATTACTGACAGTTTCTTCTACGTTTCCAGCTGAAGGCACTACCAACCTGGCTCTGAACCGCCCGGCGACCCAGTCTAGTACTGACTTTAAAGGAGCTCCCGGACGGGCTGTAGACGGGAACCGTAACGCCATCTATGCCAAAAAGTCTTGTTCTCACACGGCAATGGAGCGGGATCCATGGTGGCGAGTCGACCTGGGCAGCAGTCAGTGTATAGATCGGGTGGTCGTCGTTAAGCGACAGCGCATCGGCGGTCATTGGCTGGACGGCTTCCAGGTTGTCTTTTTATTACCTCGTTGTGACAACCAATCATTCGACCATCCAAAAAGAAACAAAAAAGGAACTGTCAAAACTAAAACAAATGCATGCCTATCAAATTAACAAATTGCACTATACATTTACACGTAAAAATGAGCTGCACAATTTCCCTATTATTCAGGTATTTCTAAATTTACTCTACTAGCTACATGTACATGTTTATACTGTACGAAAAAAAAACGCTCATGTAACAAAAGTCATGTACAACGAATTTCTTCTAGGTTTACGTTGGCGACAACCCGAACGTGGTGGAAAACCCTACCTGTGGCGGAAAGCAGTCTGTTGCTGGGAAAGACGTCATCACGGTGGACTGTGGCGGACTGACGGGCCGATATGTGGGGATAGCTCTGCCGGGCAAGAAACAGTACCTCATCCTGTGTGAGGTGGAAGTTTATGGAGGTACGATTATGCGGATTTCAAAATAGAATGGTGTATCCTACGTCACCAGCATTTCTGTCATTTTGATCCTGTGGTATTCTTTTAATCTTGTTTACAAACCGCCTACGAAAGAGACAAATGATTTTGTTCAATATATCCTATAAATAATTTTTTTATGAATCCGAAGAAAGAATTAGAAATCAAATATGGCAGGAAGGAATCGGGGCTTGTAACATACCTTGCAGTGCTTCTAAGATGTCCTAAAATTAACAGTAATCTTGTCTTTTTTAACTTTCCAGGTGTGACAATGAAAACACAAAAGGCCGGACTGATAGGTAAGCCGTAATTATACTTGATGTTTACGTAATTCAGATTGTTATAAAAATGAAGCTTTGCAATTTCTTGAAAACAGGATCAGGGCAGATACACTTAATCGGCCAAATTTAGCTTGCAATGTTTCTATTTTGTCCTAAAACAAACAGTAACCCTTTATTTGTAATTTTGACAGGTTCAGTGAAAGCTCAAGACGCCGGATTGACAAGTAAGGCTGTTTACTTATGCTTGTACTCACGTGACTATAGTTTAGAGTCCGTCATGACGGTGGGTTAATAACTGTCAATCAATCACATGATATGTCTAAGGAGGACGTTAAACGTTTGGCAATGCTTGATAAAAATAGTAAGTAGGAACTTCCATATACAAATTGATAATGATTTTGTAATTAATTTTGCAGGCTCTAGTCTGAAACTACAAGCACCTAAACCGAAAGGTAGGTTTTTAACACGGGTTTTGTAAAGATTGCGATGATTAGCTGCATAATCAATTCAGTCATCTCATGTCGTTTAGAAATGACCACAAGATAGAAAAACTATGTGAATTCATCACCAGTCGCTTTTAAAAGAGAGAAGAATGCCTAAAGACTAAGATTAGATATATGATACTTTCTAAAAGTTATTTAAACGTTTACATCATTCTTTTATTGTATTACATGTACTATATGATACCTAGTATCGATATACATGCAACGCCATACTCGTATGTACGCATTTAGTATATAGGCATGATATGAATATGAAAACAAGACCGGCAATGAAAACATACATTGCTATGGCGACGGTGGTTGCTGTTAGGGTTATTATTTGTATGGTATACGTACTGCCATTATTTCATGATTTGGAGAAAGACTTGATACCCTCCCCTCCGGATCCCCTGAGTGTATAGTGAACAAGACCCGGGGTCACAGAAAGTAGGGCATCCGGGCCAGAGAGGTCCTCCCCATGGGTCTTCCCAAAGGTTTCCAAAAATGTGGGCATAGATGTGAGTCACAGACATGCCTGTGAACAAAATGCCTGTGAGATTCTTTGAATTCTTGCGAAATGCACACAATACTGTACCATTAGGCTCCTCCCTGAGACGTCGCCAAAACTTTGGTTAATAAAACGTAACGATCAAACCCCTAGCTTCCGCGCCTTTATACCTTGCAATGCTTCTAAGATGTCCTAAAATTAACAGTAATCCTTCCTTTTTTTAAACTTTCCAGGTGTGACAATCATTACACAAAAGGCCGGACTGATAGGTGAGCCCTAATTATACTTGATGTTTACGTAATTCAGATTGTTTTAAACATGAAGCTTTGCAATTTCTTGAAAACAGCATAAGGGCAGATACACTTAATCGGCAAAAAATAGCTTGCAATGTTTTTATTTTGTCCTAAAACAAACAGTAACCCTTTATTTTTAATTTTGACAGGTTCAGTGAAAGCTCAAGACGCCGGATTGACAAGTAAGGCTGCTTACTTATGCTTGTACTCACGTGACTATAGTTTAGTGTCCGCCATGACGGTGGGTTAATAACTGTCAATCAATCACATGAAATGTCTAAGGAGGGCGTTAAAACAATGGCAATGTTTGATAAAAAAACAGTAGGTACTTCCACCTACAAATAGATAATATTTTTTTATTAATTTCTATCAAATTTTGCAGGCTCTGGTCTGAAACTACAAGCACCTAAACCGAAAGGTAGGTTTTTAACACGGGTTTTGCGAAGATGGCGATGGTTAGCTGCACAAGGAATTCAGTCATCTCATGTCGTTTAGAAATGATCACAAGATAGAAAAACTATGTGAATTCATCACCAGTGGTTTGAAAGGAGAGAAGAAACCGGAAAGACGTACTAATAGATTAGACATATGATACTTTCTAAAAGTTATTAAAACGCTTACATCCTTATTTCATTGTATTACATGTACTATATAATACCCAGTATCCATATACACGCAACACCATACTCGTATGTATGCATTTAGACCCATGGGCATGAACAAGAAAAATAAATTTGGTTATTAATAAAACCATGGAGTTATAAAAGATAAAACGTAACGATTACACCCCTAGATTCCTCGCCACCCGCACCTCAAACGCCGGAGCCGAAGGTTGTCCATACAACCGGCGAGGAGAAACCAGGCGCCGGGCACGGAATCGCCGATTTTATATTGTGGTCAAGGATCCCTGTTGGACACAATTTTTAAACATTACAGAACCCAAATGACTCTCTTCGACGAGAAATATTTTCCTTTATTCTTTATGTATTTCAGGAACGTCACCAACTAAAGTCAGCAGGCCAATACCAAAATATGACCAATGTGGTAAGTGCCTAAATCAATTACAGTTAAAAGCTTAAATATGTATAGTCTTAAGCTAAATTTAAAGCTAGTAGTATCTTAGTGCCAAATAAAAATAAAACGAAACACGTAACGTTGATTATTCTAAGGAAAAACAGGTCCCTTTAGATCTGATATAAATCTTGTTTTTAATTCAACTGTCTTATTTGAACATTGTTTACTAATAGTTTTAGTCAATTCTTTCAACCATTTCAGATGAGTAAATTAAAAAAAACGTCCTTGGTCTAACATTATGGACAAATGGTGCTTGCATTGGTCAGTAAAAGGCAAACCTTTTAAATCATATCATGCACTCATTGCTGAAGGTTTCTTTCTACGCTTCCAGCTGAAGGCATTACCAACCTGGCTCTGAACCGCCCGGCGACCCAGTCTAGTACTGACTTTAAAGGAGCTCCCGGACGGGCTGTAGACGGGAACCGTAACGCCATCTATGCCAAAAAGTCTTGTTCTCACACGGGAATGGAGCGGGATCCATGGTGGCGAGTCGACCTGGGCAGCAGTCAGTGTATAGATCGGGTGGTCGTCGTTAAGCGACAGCGCATCGGCGGTCATTGGCTGGAAGGCTTCCAGGTTGTCTTTTTATTACCTCGTTGTGACAACCAATCATTCGACCATCCAAAAAGAAACAAAAAAGGAACTGTCAAAACTAAAACAAATGCATGCCTATCAAATAAACAAATTGCACTATACATTTACACGTAAAAATGAGCTGCACAATTTCCCTATTATTCAGGTATTTCTAAATTTACTCTACTAGCTACATGTACATGTTTATGCTGTACGAAAAAAAAAACGCTCATGTAACAAAAGTCATGTACAACGAATTTCTTCTAGGTTTACGTTGGCGACAACCCGAACGTGGTGGAAAACCCTACCTGTGGCGGAAAGCAGTCTGTTGCTGGGAAAGACGTCATCACGGTGGACTGTGGCGGACTGACGGGCCGATATGTGGGGATAGCTCTGCCGGGCAAGAAACAGTACCTCATCCTGTGTGAGGTGGAAGTTTATGGAGGTACGGTTGTGCGTATTTCAAACTAAAATGGTGTATCCTACGTCACCAGCATTTTTGTCATCTTGATCCTGTGGTATTCTTTTTGTCTTGTTTACAAATTTTAAATCGCCTACCAAGAGACAATGATTTTGTTCAATATATCCCATAAATCATGTTTCTATTAAATCCGAAGGAATGCATTGGCCTTTAAATCAAATCTTGGCATGAAGATATCGGGGGTTGCAATATACCTTGCAATGCCTTTAAGATGTCCTAAAATTAACAGTAATCCTTTCTTTTTTTAACTTTCCAGGTGTGACATTAAAAACACAAAAGGCCGGACAGATAGGTAAGCCTTTATACTTGATGTTAACGTAATTCTGATTGTTATAAATAAAGATTTGCAATTTCTTGAAAACAGGGTCAGAGTAGATACACTTAATCGGCCAAATTTAGCTTGCAATGTTTCTATTTTGTCCTAGAACAAACAGTAACCCTTTATTTGTAATTTTGACAGGTTCAGTGAAAGCTCAAGACGCCGGATTGACAAGTAAGGCTGCTTATTTATGCTTGTACTCACGTGACTATAGTTTAGAGTCCGTCATGACGGTGGGTTAATAACTGTCAATCAATCACATGAAATGTCTAAGGAGGACGTTAAAACAATGGCAATGCTTGATAAACAGTAGGAACTTACACATATAAATAGATAATAATTTTATTAGTTAGTAATTTTTTGATCAGTGACTGTATTTTTTGTAAGGTAAATCACGTACCTCCAAATTTTTTTTGGTGTCGACTGTAAGCCTTGGTCACGGAATGACCTATACAGTCGACACCGAAAATCGTACGTGATTTACCTTACAAAAAATACAGTCACTGATAAAAAAATTTCTACTAACTGTTATTCTACGTGACTGATGAACCTCTTCAACGATAATTTTATTTTTTTGCAGGCTCCAGTCTGAAACTACAAGCACCTAAACCGAAAGGTAGGTTTTTAATATGGGTTTTGTGAAGATAGCGATGATTAGCTGCGCATTAGGAATTCAGTCCTCTAACGTCGTTCAAAATGACCACACAGAAAACGGTTTAAATAATTCATCACCAGTCGGTTCAATAAGGAATTATTTCTAACTGTGACGTTAATCTGCGGTATATAAATAGTACTTTCCAGATTTCTGACGGCTGACAGTCCGTCTTGATCACGGAAATCCTAGTCTCGCGAGAGCACACGAGACTAGGACGAGACTTGCGTGGATTTTCTGACCCATCTGCCTCCTTCCGGAGTAGAGGTAGGTAGGGCTTATGCAGCTCCCAGCCATTGTTACGGTTTCACGTCAACCGTCGAAAATTTGGAAGGTATGTACATGTATATACCGCAGATTAATGTCACTGTTGTCACTGTTAGAAAGAATTCCTTATTTTACTGTTATTCTACATGACTGATAAATCTCTTCAACTATCATCATCAGTCGTTTTGAAAAGAGAGAAGAAACCCTAAAGACTTAGATTAGATATATCATAAAAGAATGATGTAAACGTTTTAATAACTTTTAGAAAGTATCAGATACTTGATTCATGGTTTTGAGGAAGACTTGGTACCCTCCCATCCCCTCCCCTCCCCTGAGTGTATAGTGAACGAGCCCCGGGGTCACAGAAAGTAGGGCATCCGGGCCAGAGAGGTCCTCCCCATGGGCCTTCCCAAAGGTTTTCAGGAATGTGGGCATAGATGTGAGGCAGAGACATGCTTGTGGACATTCCATTACAGTAACTGTGAAATACCTGTACAATTCCTAGAATTCTTGCGAATTGCACACAATACTGTACCATTAGGCTCCTCCTTGAGACGTTGCCAGAAATTTGGTTATTAAAACGTAACGATCACACCCTTAGCTTCCGTGCCTCCACCCGCACCTCAAGCGCCGAAGCCGAAGGTTGTCCAGACGACCAGCCAGAAGAAACCAGGCGCCGCCGGGCACGGAGTGGTCATCACGATCGGACGGGGCAGCTCCGGAGGAAGCTCTGGTGGGTAGATGGAATGCGCGAATGTGTTTCAGATACCATCTGATATTATGTGTCATCAGTACAATAAATAAAAATCCGTTCTCTTTCATATGTTAATAAATTTGAATCTCTTCGCCATTCTCAGTTACTCATAAAAGATTTTCGATGGTATATTGGCTTATTTCGCAATACGTGATATTTGACCATGAAATGCGGAACGTAATGCAGAGGTCTTATGTTTGAGAAAATCACGTTGAAAAATCCATCAGATGCAAGTAGGCGTAGAATTGAAAGTTGGCGTGACGACCACAGTAGCTTCAAATCTCTTTTTCATTGTTTAACTGTTGAAAATCGTATGTTGATACGTTTTTTCAGGATCAGCCGGGAATGGAGCAATTAACATCATTAACAACCAGATCTCCGTATACAGCAGCGGTGGTGGGTGTCACTGCAAAACAGCCAAATGTGGTAAGGATAATTTATGTGTGTGTGTGTGTGTGTGTTTGTTTGTTTGTCTGTTTGTGTGTGTGTTTGTTTGTTTGTGTGTTTGTGTGTGTGTCTGTGTGTGTTTGTATCTCTAGTGAGCTAAGACCTGTCCATCCGGTTTTGAAGAGCCTTCGAAGAATAATATTCGGTATACTTATAGACTGATTAATGAGGTGAACAAAGCAAAATTTCTTGAATCCTTAGCAAAAACGTCATGGATGTCCGTTTTGGAAGAATCCGATACAGAAATGGCTTATAATTCATTTCATTCTATATTTTCCTCACTTTATGACAAATCATTTCCAATGAAAACTACCAAAATCGCCCAGCATACCCACAAAAAACCATGGCTAACCCGTTGTTTGCTTAAATCGATTAAGAAGAAAAACAAATTGTATGGAAAATACGTTAAAACCCCAACCCCCTAACAGAGAGTACCTACAAAGTATATAAAAATAAGTTAAATCATTTGTTAAAAACTGCCAAAAAAATTACTACCATTGGAAATTCACAGAAGCCTCATCAAACGTGAAACAAACTTGGAACGTTATCAATGAATTATTAAATCGTAGTAATAAACCAAAAGCAGCCCCTCATAAAATCCAAACGGATACTCAAGTTATTACAGAAAAAATAAGATGTGCGAAGAATTCAATGATTTTTTGTTAATGTCGGTCCATCCCTGGAAAGTAAAATCCCTAAGACAACGAAAGATCCCCTTGATTACATTAACACTCCGCAAATTAGTCAATTAACGTCTTTTGAACCACCCACAGCTGCCGAAGTTTTAAACATAGTTAGAAATCTGAAGGATTCCGCTGCTGGTCACGACGGACTCAGTACTAAAATACTAAAAATCGCCCTACCTTATATCATCTGCCCTCTTACTCATATACTAACTTTATCTATTCAGAACGGAGTGGTTCCCAAATTAACTAAAATTGCAAAAGTGATTCCTATATTTAAAAGTAACGATTCTACCTTAGTTAGTAATTACCGCCCAATCTCAATCCTACCTAGCATCTCGAAAATTCTGGAAAAACTGATATACAAACGACTTTTAAAACATCTAGACCAAAACGATATTCTTTACAAACATCAATACGGTTTTAGAAAAGGATACTCTACCTCAATGGCACTTATACAACTAATAGATAAAATTTCTTCAGCCATAGATAATAACGAATATACCATTGGGATATTTTTAGATTTGAGTAAGGCTTTTGATACGGTTAACCATTCGATTCTTTTGAAAAAACTCAACAAATATGGCATTAATGACGTCGCACTTAAGTGGTTTACCAGTTATTTATCCGATAGAAAACAGTACGTTGTCCTTAACGATCATTCTTCTTCATGCAAATCTATTAATTGTGGTGTCCCCCAGGGATCGATTTTAGGGCCCCTATTGTTTTTATTATATGTCAACGACCTTGCTGAAGCATCCAAAATTATGTTCTTCATTCTATTTGCTGATGATACCAATCTCTTTCTCTCACATGCAGATTTTGATTCTCTAATTCAACTAGCCAACCAAGAACTAGAAAAAGTTATTACATGGTTCGAAGCAAACAAACTATCAGTTAACATCAAAAAGACTTACTATCTGATCTTTTGTAGTAAAAACAAGGCAAATAATAGGAAAAATCCCACCATCCACTTAAAAAACCATATCCTTGTCAAAGAATCTCAGGCTAAGTTTTTAGGAATACTAATAGATGACCGATTAACCTGGAAACCCCACATTGCTATGGTAGTTAATAAAATTTTCAAAAACAACCGGGATACTAGGGAAAATTTCACATCTCCTATGCAACAAACCTTTATCACCATCTATAACAGTCTAATCTATCCTTACCTCACATATTGCAATATCGTCTGGGGAAATGCCTACAAAACCTTTCTACATCCTATATCAATCCTTCAAAAAAAATTTCTACGCATTGCCACTGGATCAAATTTCTATACCCACTCTTCACCTCTTTTCAAACAACTTAGACTTTTGAATATTTATGACATTAATAGATTTCAACTAGCACTTTTCGCAGCCCAATATATAAACCATAATCTCCCTGATACCTTTGATGACTTTCTTAACTTTCGTTCACAGATTCACAATTATGAAACTCGTCAACGTTCCCATTTTCAAATTCCCTTACTAAGAACATCTTTTGCCCAAATGTCAGTCAAATACAAATGTGTCACCCTATGGAATGAATTACCACCAGCCCTAAAAAATTCTACCTCCTTTTTCCTGGCGCCGTTCAAACGAGCTCTGAAAAACCATCTGATAAACCATCCAAGCCCCTTGCAGTAATCTCATATAGTGTTCTTTCTCATTTTATCTGATACCAATTATTATTGTTATCATTGTAGCATCATATTCATACACCACCCTACTTTTTTGTTATTAATTTATTACGTATTTGTTTGATTATTCTTATGCATTATTTTCTATGTATATGATTTAATCTAAATCATCGATTATATTCTTCTTGTTAAATTTAGAGGGGGAGGGCCTCGTACAAGCACTCCATGCTTCTGCCCTCCTCCTGCACCTATTTTAACTTTATTCTTGTATTATTGTATTATGTTTTTGTTTCAATGTGCAAATAAATAAAATCAAAAAAAAAAATCAAAATCAACCCTGCCTCCAGTAAAGCCCTCATTATGCGCATCAAGGTGAGGCGATAATTGCTCTGACCTCACCTCCCACTCCCCGCCTGCTATTAGCATTAGTTTAGGGTTGATATGACACCCTTCTGTGCAGTCCCCAGGGCTTTCCCAGACTCTACACAGTCAAAAGACTGTTCACAAGAGATGTGTGTGTGTGTGTGCGTTTGTGTGTTTGTGTGCGCGCACGTCTGTGTCACAGTGTGTTTGTGCGTTTTGTGTATTGTGTATGTGTGCGTGCGTTTCCTTATGTTTTTGTAGGTACGTCAGTGCGTTAAAGTGGAAGAAAAGGGGAAGATTTTGTAACCGCAGGTTGACCATAAGGTCAAGTTGGTAGTCCGAACATGGTCTCCTTGCAGGGTGGGAGAAAGTGCTTAATAACTAACGAAATATTGACCTTATTATTATCAAATATAGGGGATTTGCGGAGCCGGGCAAACCCATGAAAAGGGTGTGCGTGGAAATTCACTAGCTATCCGGCGGTTTTTCTATCAAAAGTTGGCATTCCCTTTTGTATTTTGTTCTGCAGTATAGCGAACTAAATCCCTCGCGAACTCTCATTTTGCTCCGCTGCGCGAAATGTAGTAATCGCGAACATAAATGCATTTACATTATGCTGTTAGTATTTTGTTACTAAAACATGCCTTGTATCCTGTTCCAGCCTGCCCAGGTAATAAGGGAACAGACCCGTCCACTTCAAAGCCGGCTGGCCTGACTGAGATACTGCTGGGCTCCGTAGAGCGAAATGAGGATAGCCCCTCCAACGTACAGGAGCTGGACACTGTGGAGACCGTCTCTGAGCCATTTGTGAGTGAGGTGTCTGAAGAAAGAGTCGTCCTTCAGCCAGGTAAGATTCACTGGCCTTCTTATCAAAGAAGAGGATGTTCGCGCAACAGAAAGTACACTGACGTTTATATGGTAAAATTATGAACTAGAATAAAGAAATAAAAGCGATATGAATGAAATCATACCTATGTCACAGACATACATGCAGTCCTCCTTCAGCTAGGTAAGACTCACCGGCGCTGTTATCAAAGAAGATGCAAAGAAAGTACAGTGACGTTCATATGATCAACTATAAACTATAATAGAGAAATAAAAGCCATATGAAATCAGTTTTACGGCACAGAATTATAGTAATCATATTGCTTTAGCAAACGTGTCAGAGATGGTATCGCAGAGTGGCTATATCAATGACTATTTGCCTTCGTAATGTTCAGTTTGTGTCCAGCCCTGATCTTAGCAAGCAGCTTTGTGGTAATACTTGACGAGACTGATTGACAACGTGTCTAATTCCTTTGTTGTTTTCACTGAAACACGCGAAACACAAGGTGACCTCGAGGATCAGCTAGCTGACGGCATGACTGTTTCTGATGACGACATGGCTGTTTCTGATGACGACATGGCTGTTTCTGATGACTACACGGCTGTTTCTGATGACTACACGGCTGTTTCTGATGACGACACGACTGTTTCTGATGACTACACGGCTGTTTCTGATGACTACACGGCTGTGTCTGATGACTACACGGCTGTTTCTGATGACGACACGACTGTTTCTGATGACGACACGGCTGTCTCTGATGACTACACGGCTGTTTCTGATGACGACACGACTGTTTCTGATGACGGCACGGCTGTTTCTGATGACGGCACGGCTGTTTCTGATGACGACACGGCTGTTTCCGATGACTACACGGCTGTTTCTGATGACGACACGACTGTTTCTGATGACGGCACGGCTGTCTCTGATGACTACACGGCTGTTTCTGATGACGGCACGGCTGTTTCTGATGACTACCCGGCTGTTTCTGATGACGACATGGCTGTTTCTAATGACGACATGGCTGTTTCTAATGACGACATGGCTGTTTCTGATGACTACACGGCTGTTTCTGATGACTACACGGCTGTTTCTGATGACGGCACGGCTGTTTCTGATGACGACACGGCTGTTTCTGATGACTACACGGCTGTTTCTGATGACGACACGGCTGTTTCTGATGACGGGTCGGCAGCCCAGGCTAGGGAGAAGCTCGAGGCGGTGGGCAGCAAGCTGAACACACTGCGCGAGTTGCTGAACCTCGCTTAGATGCGACATCTAACGACATAATGTAAAACTCCAGATTGAAACTTATTCATTTAGTCTTTCAACATGTGTTAATCGATATCGTAACTAACCAGCGAAACATCATACAATTTGCTAGGCAGGGACATATATCGACATGATGTAGTACTGTAGATCTAGACTTCCATCAGTTTTCAAGCATATCGTTTGGTGACAAAAAAAGTAACCAACCAGCAAGACATCAACAAATTGGCTGGGCAATATATACCAGTCAGAGTGTAATGTATTTGCCAGATCTGCTTGCAGATAAACTCCACTGTACACTGAAAAATGTGGTGTCGACCTTATTTAATTTCTTTAAAGATGACGGGTATAATCTCCAGCCAGATGTAGGATCCTACCTCAGCGTTTTGGTCGCATTTTTCCTCTTTGGAGAAGGCGAAGAACAAAACCGAAATATGTATACGTACCTTCAACTATGTGAAAAAAAAAAACAAAAATACATGTAAACACTGTAGCCTGGTATCTGGAGTCACACATTTTTGGTGTCCATAAGGCCTAATTTGCATAAATAATGAGAAAAATGCTATAAATAGTATAATACAGTAGTGGTGACTGACCGGAATTTCATACTGGCTGCATTTGGAAGTTAAGTGAAGGTGATCATTATTAAACATAATCTATTCAATTTAGAACCTTATTTGCATCATTTATGAGGAAATGCTAGAATAGCCCGCTTTGTTTAAGATAAAACTGTCATTGAATGGAAAATATGATCAAAGGATATAATTGCAAGTGAGGATATTATTTCCATAATCAATGTGAAACATTAATAATTTGTCGGTCGTAAAGGTTAACATCATTTGTCGAAGGCATGAGGTCGTGGAACTCTAGTTACCTTCGCCAAGAATTGGAGAAGGTTATGTTTTCCTGGCCGTGTGTCTGTGTGTGTGTCTGTCTGTCAACAGCATAACTCGAAAAAGCTTACTAGATGGATTATCTTGGTTTTTGGTAGGTTGGTAGGTCTTGATGAGAGCTCGAACTGATTAGATTTTGGGCCCCTTGTTATGGTACTGCAGCTGAACTTCCGGTTTTGATATCTCGTGATATAGACATGCTAGGGTGACGAAATTTAGATGGTAGATAGCTCCTGTGCTGGGGAAGAAGTGACGTGAGTTTAGTTCCCCTAGCGGTTTGCCCTGGAACTGCAGGGCTATCTGTTTGAAAATATTCAAAAGAGAATAATTCAAAAGCCGGTTGACGGATCGTCGTGAGTTTTTAAATGTAGGTAGCTTACGTGATGCTTTACATAATTATAGGAAAATTATGCAAATATGGACGTGATTTGCATAATCTATGGGGAGATTCTATAAATCAGTTGCATTCCATGATAGGACTATTAAAGCTTGTGACATTGGTAATTGAGAAGAAGAGAAACACAGGCATATATTGATTATGTAAATGAGGACGTAATTTGCATAATTAACGAGAAAATGTTATTATTCTGTAATGATAACTGCCTGGAATTTCATACTTGTATGTGAAAGTTCAGTGAAGGTAAACATTATTAAGCATAATGTATTCAAATTAGGACCTTATTTGCATAATTTATGAGGTAACAATAGAATTGCACTGTTTGTTAATATAAGACTGTCTTTTGGTTGAGAATATGATGAAGTGATATAATTCATGGAAATGAGGATGCTATTTGCACAATCAGGGGGAATAACCTTTAATTTCAGCCATAGAGATTAATATCATTTGTCGAAGGTATGAGATCGGAGAACTCTAGTTGTCTTTGAAAACAAAAACTAAAACGCACTTACAAAAAATCTCCATCCTCCGTCCCATAACAACAGCGAAATGTTTTTCTTTGTACAGCAACAAACAATTGGGTTGAATAATAAGTTTAACCTAAGGCCACATTAAGTAAAAGTTATGTATGGCATCCTCTGCAGACTCCAAATCTGATAGCTTGGGTACCATCCGGATTTTCGCTCCGCAACGCTCGAACAAAATCACAAGACGGTTTGAAAGTCAGCGGTCCCAGACGTGATTTTTTCGAGCGTTGCGGAACGAAAATCCAAATGGCACCCTGCAGGCTACAAATCTGATGCGATAGGGCGAAAAAAAACAAGACGGGCAAAAAACAAGATTCCTACACTTTCAAGTGTTGATATCATAAACCTTCTTAAACAAGAAATCATACCTATTTGTGGTAAGTTTACTGCAAACTATTACAACATCCATTTGTCACTGAAAAACAGTTTTTAATCATTGTACACATGGTTTTGATTCAGTAGGAACATAAATATATTCTATAGAAGGAATGAAATACATCACCGCATCAGAGTAAAAGCCTTGTCTTGTCTCCCCTTTTCATATTTATCTGCCATCCACATTCTGGCACGGCAAGGCATGCCATATTACCCAATGTCGGCATGTTTAACACTGCCAGAAGGCAATTTTTTTCCAAAATCAGTCGAAAATCAGTGCGCGCGCTGATGTCATCCATAAAAATGACTTGCTGTGGCCTAATCGTTCCGTAAAGATGACTTTATGCAAGGCATGTGATGGCATTATAAACCACAAAACAAGACTCATTGCTGACATGTACACGTGCATTAAAGTAAGATGAAGCAAGCTTAAGCTTTTAGTTGGAACGCAGTTAACTTTCTTTAAATAGCTAAAGCTCGGTGCGAAAAGAAAGGGATTTTCTGACATTGCACAGCCGTCATGAGTATAGAAAACGCCGATATATGCGGTCAAAAGAGGGACAAGTGGATTAGTAAAAGTACAATGTAGGTGAGTTTGACAACTTATTTCTTAGATGCTCACCAATTCCATGGTAGCTCAAAATAGCACTCTGTGACCGGCCTTGAAGATTTTCCAATGTAAAATAACGACAGGACACAGAACCACCACTTTGAAATGTGGATCTAATTTTCAGCCACGGCTCAGATAATATTAGGTTAGCAAAACACTATTGAAGATAAACCATTTCTGTGTAATTCAATAATGACTTCGACTTTCAATGCATATATGGCTAATACTATATATATATATATATATATATATATATATATATATATATATATATATATAGAGAGAGAGAGAGAGAGAGAGAGAGAGAGACCCTTTTATTGCATTCTAACCACCATAGGTCAGTTTCAGCGTAGAGCCTTTTATGAACATTTATTTTTGATATTTATTTATAAACACTGTAAATCACACTGCTGAATAAAAGAGTGTAGAGTTTCTTCATTCTAATTACAGCTTTTTACGCACCAAGAGCAAATTCAGTCATTGCCTAATCACCGTGGGTAAGTTAAAAAGTGATGTTTTGTTGTGGTTTCCCACTAATTTCTTTTCTTTTGCAAAAGACATCGCTGTGCATTAGCGTTGTCAAGCATGGTAGTAAAGTAACCAAGACCGTAATGATTAGTTTTTTTTTGCCATTTGCGAATTACCTTGGTGATCATTGGCTTTTGTCATGCTAGTCAAATGTTCTGTGAGCTGCCAGATACACACGCACTTGACAGCCGAGTCTACGCCAACACACTACCAAGTTGGTACACCGACAAGCTTTCCAAGGAGAAGGTAAATTTTGCTGGAATTTTTGTCATTGTTACATTTTAGTCATAGATACATGTATATTGTCACACAGACAAGTGCGTAAGTATTGTATAGTCCTGATTTTGGCTTATAATGTTTAAGAATAAAGACGACGCATTTGAATCAAAATGTCACTTGAAAAGCAAACATCGAGTTCGTTTTTTTGTACATTTAGGCCATAGATTTATTTTCGTGCTGATGTTGGTAAGTATTGCATAATTATAAATGTAATCTTGTCTGATGAAGTGTTAGAAAACAAGGAGGAAAATAAGTTATAATGTCGGACAGGGGCTTCGTCTGAGGGCAGTAAAGTGTAAGAAACTTTGTTACCAAATAGCCACTTTGGCTGACTAAAACCAACATGAATACAAGAATGATTCTTCTGTAAATTTTTCTGTCTATATATTTTTTTCTAAACCGGAATGAAATAATTCTCGCTTAATCTAAATCCCATTTATCTAAATCACTTTACCTAAAGTTCATATAAGTTGATTATTAGTTACTAGAATACAGATATTTCCATTAGAAATGTCAATCTCTTTAAATTTTACTCCCCATTCTAAAATAGAATGGCGGGAAAGTGTGCCGTAACCATGGTGATGATGATGAGTCTTGTCTGTTCTCTGAGAGACCAGACCGGCGTGTCGTCTGCACCAGTGGAACCTGAATCAGACGGTAATTATATTATTACCCCCCCCACCCACACACACACCATCTCCGCGGCAAAGCTGTTTTGTTGGAGACTCTGGGAACATGACTTTCACACTTCCCATAATGCCTAGTAAATATCACGGATACGTAAGATACTTTACAGATATACGTAGTGCGACCATGCGAGTAGGAGAGTCTTCGGTAGAAGGTAGAGCGTTAGAGGGTATACGTTATTTTCTCTAATTGCAACAAAAATGCATTTATGGTATGCACTTTATACTGAAGAGATGATTCAAAACAACATAGTTGACCAGTTTGTCGACAGACCATTAACTGGAAATATTACACCGAGGAAGGGGGAGGGGGTGGTCATACGTCATATTCGTGATCTTTACTATGCATTGAGGAAGTGTGAAAGTCATGAATTCTGGAACCTGGAGTCAAAACTTTGGGAACTATTTTGGGAGCGAGCTAGAACCAGAACTCTGGGAACTGGATTCAGAATTCTGAAGAATTCTAGAGAATTCTGGAGCCTGGAGCGAAAAATTCTGGAACTGGAGCCTCAATGGCTGCTACGTATTTGTCACATTATTTGTACCTATAGTAAAAGGTCGTGGTCCATATAGGGTGAAAATTAGGGTCAGATAGCAGACACTGTCGGCTAATATCATATCAAATATTCCGCAGACACCCTACTTTGGAAATGATGCAATTCCCCTGATAAACTGCCCTAATGAAGATGACAGACGGTCATCGAAACGTCGGCTCGTGAAAAATAAATGGTTGTGAAGAAAGAACTTTGCTATCCATTCGATTACCAACCTGATGAAATTATTTACGGATGTCATGATAAGAATTTGCCACCTTTAGGAGGTACTAGCAGCTTTGCAAATGGACTTAGGCCGTGTCTATGGGGAATCACGCAAACCGCGATTCGGGTAACTCACATTCCTCACATCTGGTCCACGTGCCACACACACCTGTGAAACCGTGTCCGAACACAATACGCTTGAGCTACATTTATTGCTGTTTGATGAAAACACGCAAGGTAGCGTGTTATCAATGTCAGAGGTCAACGACCTGCTTGCTGGTGCCCCCCCTCCCAGCGTACCTCGGCCGAATGCCGCCGTGGTCCCGCCAGAGGCGATGAAGCTCGTCCTAGAATGGATACATTATTCGGTCATTACTGCTCTTTAAGTTGCTGTCACTTATATTTTGGTATTGCACATAAATGA